GAGGAGCACAGGGAACCTCAGACCCCTTCCTGTAGCAGGTGCACGTGCGTGCCTGCGCGTGTGCTCTTTTCTCTACCCGAGGCCTGGCTGCGTGCCATCCGTGCAAACTCAGGGCTTGGTTTGTATGAAGTTGCTTTCTCTTTTATTTATTTATCTATTCGTTTAAAGATTTTGTTTTTAAGTAATCTCTATACCCAACATGGGGCTCGAACTTATAACCCGGAGATCAAGAGTTGCAGGCCTGTCCACCGACTGAGCAAGCCAGGTGCCCGGTTGCTTTCTCTTTTAAACTGTGCTTTCTCCCAAGAGGCACTACACAAAGCTGATGCCTTAACTTGAATTATTTAACCAGGTTATTTTCCTTCTGGAGGGGCATGTGAGGCAACTTGTTTAGAATAACAGGGCTCAGGCTTTTGGTCTCAAGACCCACTTTATACTCGAAATTGTAGACCCAAAGAGACTTTTCATTTGGGGGTTATATCAATATTTATCATGTTGTAAGTTAAACTGGGAAATTTAAAGAGTATTAGTTCACTTAATAACATTAGTAAGTCAATTACATGCTAACAATGACATTTTTAATGAAAAATAACTTCAAAAACTCAGTGAGAAGACTGGCATTATTTGACATGTTTTGCAAATCTCTTTTATCATCTGGCTTAGAAGATAGGTTGGATTCTCATGTTCTGCTTTTACATTTATTCAGTCTGTTACAAGGTGTTATTTTGATGAATGTGTGTGAAGGGAAACCGTTTTTGCCTCACACATGTAGTTGGGAAAGGGGAGAGTTTTCAGTAGCCTTTTCAGATAATTGTGGACATTATACTTTGATAACACACCAAAACTTAACAAGTGGCGCTTTTCTTAAAGTTGAGTACAATGTGGAACCTTGAAACCATGATGGTGAGCTGTTTGAACTTTGTTTCACTAAAATGCACTGGGCTCCCTCGCACTCTGAATGGGTTTTGCGATACTGTATGTTAGTGGATTATGTAGATCTGCCAAATGTTGACACATTTCATGACACAATATCCAAAACATCACTGATCTCATCAGAAAAGTCTTCAAGTATTTGGGAAACTGAGCTCTTGATGTCAGATAGATGTTTTTCAAGGGTCTCCCTTTGGTAGAAAGCTTGGATTTTATCACTGGCAGCAACTACTCTGAGTTGTTCCGTTGAAATACAGGCGCCGTTCATTCCTTTTTGAGCAGATAGATACCTGCCATCTGCCCAGCTCTGCATAACCATTGTTTGTCTGTCCATTGTTCTTTCTAGTAACTGGTGTTCCGGGAGAAGCCTTCTAGTTCAGCTCACAGTCTAAACGTGGGGGAGCCGCCTTTCCCAAGACAGCGGAGCGCTTCACGTGTGCCTGCATTTCCTCATACAGAGTGATAAGATGTGTTGTCAAGGGTCGAAGTTTGGCAGAATGAATCCTTTTTGTTGCTTCCTCCAGGATATTAAAAGTGAAAATGGTCTTTTAAAAAAAGCTGCAAGTGTGTGGCGATGCCTGACGTGGAGACCCTGCCTCGCCTGTGCTGAGGCACAGAGTTTTACTTTGGCTCTGCACCGGCCATCACCGCAGAGCTCGGCACCGGCAGAGGGACAGAATGTCGTGTTCTCATGTCCACGCTGTTGACTTTATGGATCACCTCATGGGGGGACCCTTGGGGTCTGCGGGTAGTGCTTTGAGAACCTGGGTGTGGAATCTGACTCTGGAAGCAAAGCCAGTGTGGAGCTCTAGCTCTGTCCTCTAATATGTTGGCCGTGGGGTCTGAGGGAGACTGGGCTGCTTTGGTGGATTGTTGTGAGGACTGGACGGGAGGTGCAGTGAAAGCGCGCCTTCTCTGGTGCCTGTACGTAGTCGGCACTGGTCAGGTCCTGTTCCTTTCCTTCCTGGGGTGCTGTGAAGGTACTGTGGATTGGGAGACTGGGTGGGGTGGAGAGGTGGAAGGGGTCAGTTTTGCCTTAGTGCATCCTGGTATCCACAGGAAGGTCTCTTGGCTCTTTTTTCTCACGTGCACTGCAGGGATTTGCAAGGGGATCAGCAGATCTTTCTGAGGCTGTTTGCGGGTGGAGGGGGCTTTGGTTCTCTGGACATGTTGGTTGTCTGTGTCCCAACGTAGTTTGAGTTACAGAGCCCACTCTGGAAATTAGCAACGACTTCTGATTACTGTCCTCTCCTGTGCACTGGGTGCTTTTTACAGATAATTCTGGTTCAGCCTAAGAGCTCTCCATGGTGGCAGACCCTAGGGGGCCTTTCACGGCTGGAAAAATAAACTCAAGGACGAGGAGGTTGGGCTCCTAGAGCTTGTGCGCTGCTGGGGGTCTGAGTGTCGTCTAAGGCAGAGTTCTCTTTTTTCCCGTACTAAATAAATACCAGGGCAGGATTTTATCACAGCCAAGTGAAATCTGAAATTCTCAAAACCGAATTCACATTAATTTTTAAAAAACTAACATTAATCCAGGATGGCTTGGTTGGTTGGGGACTGCCTTCGGCTCAGGTCTGATCCTGGGGTCCTGGGATTGGGCCCTGTGTCTGTCTCCCTGCTTGGTGGGAGTCTGCTTCTCCTTCTTACTCCCCACCCTGCCACCCACTCACGCTTGCTCTCTCACTTTCTCAAATAAATAAAAATTTTTTAAAAAGGAACATTAATCAGACAGTAGTTTGAACACCGTGACCCAACTTCAAAAAAGGTTATCAGCCCCTGTCCAAGAAAGATCACAGCACGTGTGAAGGCCCCGGCCTTCTAGTTTATCAGGTGTATTTTCCCTATTGCATTGTTCCTGGAGGTGGACAAAGCACGATGACACTTTAGCTTTCAGAAGAAGAGTCTGTGGGGCTGACCTGCTCGTCCACTCATTTGTTCCCAGGGTCAAGTGTTGAGCCCACGTGTGTAACAATGCCCCAGGTCCATCCACAGGAGAGCTCTTGCTAACTTGGTGGTGCCAGAAAGGGCAATAGTTGTGTTCCTGGTCCAAAGCTTTCAGCAAGAACTGCTTTTTTGGGAGGGAACTGTGCCTCTGTATCTGCAAGAGTGAAATTCCAGGTGGAGTGATCTTGGGTTTTAAACGACCTTTTGTTCTCTCTGCTGATGGTTTCACTTTGGATTTACGGTACTCAGAATATCTCTGTTGCTATCTAGACTTGATGTCTTGTGTGTATAAGCTCTGAATTTTTTCTTTTAAAGATTTATTTATTTTAGAGAGCTCACGCCTGATGGGAGGAGGGACAGAGGGAGGGAGAAGCCGACTTCGCTGTGAGTGTGGAGCCCGACGCAGGGCTTGATGGGATGGACCCTGAGGTCATGATCTGAGCTGAATCAGGAGTTGGATGCGCAACTGACTGACCTACCCAGGTGCCCATATAAAGCCGGAATTGAAGAAAGTTTGTATATATACTGATTTTTGTCCTGAAGGAGTCTCCCAGTAGAGTGCCCTGTAGCTGAGCGCATCAGACGCATGGTGTGGGCGACAGAACTGCCCGGGTGACTGCGTATACCGAAACACCGAAATCCGGTGTGTGGGATTGCGGTAGACTTTCTCTGTCCCCAGGGTCGAGGGGACACTTGCATGTCTGTGCCGTGTCATGTTTACTTTTATAAGATGTGATGGGGGATGTGAATTTACAGGATGTGCCTCTGTCTCCTGTTGGAGTGACCAGTGTGTGGCGGAAGGTGCTGGGCTGCCCTTGGCTCTTTCTTGAAGTTTTGCTGCTTGAGCAAGGCACGTCGCTTCGTTTAGCCTCAGGTTCTTCGTTTGTGAACTGGTGTTCAGGACAAACTCAGGTTTAGGACACGTGCCCTTTATCTCCCGCAGGGGGTAGTTGATGGTGAAGCTTTAGGGGAAGCCGTGAGATGGGGCTCAGAGGCCAGAGAACCCTGGTTGGGTGCCCCGCACGGAAGGTGCTGGAGAAGGACAGCACTCGGACTGCTAGAGCACGGGGAAGTCCCTCATGGCGGGCCACCCGCAGGTGAGCAGCCCCCCTTCGTGGTGTGACCTGGGGCAACTTCATTAACTGGCCCGTGCTCCGGTTTACTCGCCTAAAAACAAACAGGCATTAAAATAACCTCCACAGCAGTACCTACCTCTTCCCGTTTAGACGTGGTCTTAGTAGACCTGCCGTCCGTAGCCAGGTTTCTGGCTCACGGGGGATGCTGAATCCCTGTTAGCGCTTTTCATGGTCGGGGCGATAGGAGGCTTTTCCTGGGTGAGAAGAAGGTGTGTGTCAGGGAGCTCAACCAGATGTGTGTTTAGCCTGCGCCCTGCAGCAGATCGCGAATCTTAAAGCAGCCGCCGTTTAACAAGGGTGGTGGTTTCTAAGGACGCCAGTAGGAGCGGGGAGGTGCCTCAGTGCAGTGGGCGCGACTTGTCTGCGGGGGCTTTTCTGTGCCGTTCCTCTAGGTTCGTGGGGAGGACAGGTGAGGTGTACGCTGGTGGTGGTTTTCCTATGCTGTGAGTGTGCTGGTTGTGAAAATTTCCCAACAACGCATGGGCAAAATTGTATTTGACGCAGTACTTGAATACTTTGATACGGGAAATGGACAAAGAAAACTAAAATGATACCGTCACGTCTTGGATTATTCTAGTTCACTTCTGAAGAGAGCATTTCGCTCTGTTATCTTGAGCAAAAAGGCATGTGATGTTTACACCTGGTTTACCTGGTCTGTAGGGCCTGTGGCCGACCTCTGTGTCAGGTGGGCGGTCGTGAAAGACCCAGGGGCTAGGAGTCAGAAGACCCGACTTCCACACCCAGGTCCCAGCTCTGCCGCTACCTGCTGTTTGGCTTGCGGCAAGTCCCCCAACTTCCCAGGATCTCAGGTTTGAGACCTGAAAAGCAGAGAAGATGCCAGGCACCTTGCCCCGCTGGCCTCACCTGGGCCGTTGTCAGGCTCCGGTGAGAATCCTGGTAAAGTGCTGCACAACCGACGCACACGTTTGAGCATAAATGGCTGCTGGCGACCAAACTCTGACCCACCTAATGCAATATTTTCTTTCTCAGTGATGTTGCAGCCTTTCGATTATGACCCCAATGAGAAAAGTAAACACAAGTTTATGGTTCAGTCTATGTTTGCTCCGACTGACACTTCTGATATGGAAGCAGTAGTAAGTACTGAATGCTTCTTACTTTTCTTTAGTAATTAAAATGATTAGGTACAGAATTTTGGGTGCATGCATTTCAAGATGTGTCACAATTGCTTTAAAAGGGGAACGGTGTTTTCAAGGAGGTTTGTACTTTGACTACCTTTATGGTTTTTCTCAAACTTTGATTTTAACATTATGTGTAACTTTCCAGAACACTACTCTTTTCTGACGTTTCCCTCTCAGTTTGCTTCAGCAGCTGCTTGTTCTGATGGGTTGTGTCTTGAATAGTTTGAGGACTCCTTCCTTTCCCTTATACCCCGCTTCCATCTCCCATAGAAAAGGGTGTTTCTTAGTCTAGGGACTGTCTTTCACCGTGTCTCCCTGTACCCGCCCCCAGCCCTAAGAGCCCAGAGGGATGAGCGTGCGGGATGCTCAGTGTCCTGCAGCGCTTGAGCGTTTGCTTTTCACTGGGTTCTGGTAAGCAGGATTTTTTTCCCCCTCCCTAGTTTCCCTCTTTTTTTTTTTTTTCCCCCTGCTTAAATACATGTTTAACTCTGTCTCTAATTTTGGTAAAAATAAGATAACTTTGTTTTTATAAAATAAATGATACTATATTATTGGTTTTTTTTGGGAAAAGATTATAATGGAAATTCTCCTTAAAGTGAGCTTTTTTTTTTTTTTTTTAATGTTTGAATAAATCAGCTGGCATTCTGGTGTCTGCGGGAATCATAGTGTACAGATAATCCTTACCGTGCACAGTCCCAGCTAGGACAGAGTGGCCAGTCCTCAAGCTTACAGATGGGAAAAAGAAGGCGGGGCTCCCTCGACACCCACATCACTTTGCAGCTTGCCGGCCCACGCTAGGGGACCGGTCCCCCGGGGAGCACCTGCACATGGGAGTCAGCCGCAGCTCACAAGGCTCTATGGTTTTTCTCTTTCAAAAGTTCTATGCGAGGGGCTTTCTATGCACCGCTTCCCTTCATATCCCAGGGTCACCTCAGCCTTTTCCGTTAGCCTTAGAAAAGCATAAATGACCATCTTTGTGGATGTTCAAGTTTGGGGCAGGAGATGAGGGCGAGCTGGATACTTGGAGATTGAGAGAGACGAGTGACAGTAGGTGACCTTCCCCTTTCATACTAGTGATCATTGAGGTGTTTACTGCTTTCTCTTTTGTTTCCCAGAACATGAGTGTCACTTCATGTTAATTTGTGTGAGCAAGGAAATGTATGGCAAATACAGAATTTGGAATATCCAGATTGTGTTCTGCTTGGCTTTTGCTGCATGGCTTAGTGACAAGAGCATGGGCTTGGCGTCTCGGGCATGGGGCTAAGCTCTGCCTTGTACTAATGTTGTGGCCTTGGGCAGTTTTCATTAACTCTGTGTAGGGTTGGGTCACCTGTAAAAGGGGGTTAAAAACCTGGTTTTTAACATTGTTGTGGGAATTAGTGTGCTCTGTGTGTCGAGCACCTGGCACGGTGTCCAGAGTGCAGTGGATCTGAGTGCTGCTGTGGTCCAGGCCTCTGTATACAATAAAGATGAATTTCACTCCTTTTATGATAATTTGTGTAACAGTTAAAATTTTTTATATAAATGTACATTGGAGGAGATTTTGGAGATATACAAATAAGCAAAAATAAAACTAAAAGTGACCTATAATTTGTTTATACTAGACCTAACCATTGTCGTTAGAGCCTCATGCTATTTCTTTATTTTAAACTATTTTTTGGTATTTTGATATAATATATCAATAGCTATAATTATATTATAATAATATAATAATAGAAAGCAGAAAAAATTATGCAGTGACTATTCCTATAACCTTTACCTAGATTCACCATTGAACACTTTGCCACATTTGCTTCATTTCTGTCATAAACTTTCTTTTTTTTTGCCGAACCACTTAACTCTTAAGACACAGACTTCATGACACTCACTCCTACACCCTTCAGAACAAGGACAGTGTCTTACATAGTCCCAGCACTGTCCTCATAGCTGGGAAAGTTGACATTCATCCAGTCATACGATCTAACAGAGAAACCTGTATGCAGCATTTTCCAGTTGCTTCAAAATGACCATTAGTTGTTACTCTATGGGAGTATAATACCCTCATCCCTTGTGTTTTTCATGACTTTGAATATTTTGAGTCCAGGCCAGTTCTGGGATTGTCTGGTTATTTCCTCATGATTAAATTCAGGTTAAATGTTTTTGGCAAGAACATTCTGTAAGTAATGTCATTGTATGCATCGCATCAGAAGGCATTTAGTACCGGGTTATCCCTCTGTTGACGATGCTAAGTTGGATTACTTGGTTAAGATGGTGACTGCCAACTTTCTGGTGTCAAGGCGCAACTGCCCCTTGTGGTTAGTAGGTCACCTGTAGTCCTCCGGAGTGATTGGATACTTGGAGAGCACGGGAATGTCCTGCTCACTAGCAGTTGCACCTGGTGGTTTTGGTCTGGTGATGAGCCTTGCTTAATGCTCTTTGGACACACGCACACAGGCACACAGATGCTCGTGTGTGTGTCCGTAGGACAGACTTAAATATTGTCTGCGGCTTCCTCCCTTATGATTCTGAGCATTTTCCCCGTGTACTGTTCAGTTTCACTTGAGTGGCGTGCTCACCCACGGAAGGGGTCTGCGGGGCTTATTTGGCAGTTCCCGTTGTTTGCCACACAGATGGTCTCCTGGTTTCAGCTCTTGGTACCTGTGTTGTGCTAGCTGCCTCCTGCATGGTCCTGGGGCAAGGGTGGAAGAGTTTGTTCTTGTTTTCCGTATTGTAACCTTCCTGCTATGCTGGTCTGCAGTTCTTGGCATGCCCTGGGATTCCTGCCCTCCGCTGCCCAGAGGAGGAGGATTAAGCCAGGAGTACGTGCTCCCGGAGCCTGGATTTAGCCAGGAGGGTGTCCCCACTAGCAGGCCGGAGGGAGTGGGGGTCAGCCCAGACAGCGGCGTGCTCCGCAATGTGCCCTGTTAGTAGTTGGCAGTGAAGCTCTCAAACCATTCCCCGTGGTATACGCTTTCTCTAAGAGGGGTGCACCCTGCAGAGCAAGTTTTATTTTCCTTAGGAGAGCCAGAGTTACCTCTGACCGCTCAGACATAATTTAGAAAATTCCTCTTCCTTCAGCGGTGGTTGTCTCTGTTCCATGTGCTTCCCACAGACTAGCAACAAGAGCAGGACTGGTTGGCTCGGAGGAATCAGGCAGCAGGGCTGGGGTTCGTGAAGTGTAATAAATATTCAGGAAAGCTACTGTATTTAATCTTGTCCTGTTAAAAATATTGAAATCTCAGACGTAAGTTCTTTATTTGATATACACCCGGGCTTTCTCATTAAGAATATTTTTTTGAAATTGTCAGTTATAGGAAGAAAATTATTCTTCCAGCAGCTTTATAATATCCTGATTATTAAATTTAAATTGTTTTAGTGGAAGGAGGCAAAACCGGAAGACCTTATGGATTCAAAACTTAGATGTGTGTTTGAATTGCCAGCAGAAAATGATAAACCAGTAAGTATGTTTATCGTTAACAATAATTGAATGTTGCAAGCTGATACTCATTTGCATACCATCTCCTGCAAAACCAAGATTTAAGTTGGCAAATTATTTTCCTACTTCTGATGTCTGATGAAAAAAATAAGCTGAAGTCAACAAACAAGGGGCCTTCATGAAATCAGCCTCTGAGAGACTGGTGGAAAGACAACTAATTGAAACGATTTTTTTTCTTGGGAAGTACAACCTGTTGGCTGGTGAAATGTCATAAATCCTAAAGAGCTTCTCTGACTTGGCAAAGTTATAGGTTGCTGTAAAGAGTGGGTAAGTCCACAGCAGGGAGTCATTTTGCCGTTTATCACGGGGCTTGACAGACAGGTGGTAAGCTCTTGGGTTCCCTGGTTTCACAGACTGCTGTCCTAGGTCTCCTGTCTGCTCTTTCCCCTAACGCCACCTCGCCACCCCCTTAACCCTCCTGCCTCTTTCATTAAACTTGCTTTGAGATTAGGGTTTCTCAACCTCAGCACTGTTAACACTGGGGCTGTCTCGGGCCATGTGGGATGTTGAGCAGCAACCCTGGCCTCTCCTCACTGGATAACCGGTCATCACCCATCTTGCGTGACAACCAAAACTGTCCCCAGACATTGCCCGGGTGCGCTGGTGGGGGCAGAACCGCCTCCCGCTGGGAAGCCCCCCATCCCCGTGCTGCCGGAGGGGCTGAAGGAAAGAACCAGCTGCCCCCGAGCTGTCCGCTCGCTTTTCTCTGTGAAGCCACGGGGCAGACCTCTCATGGCTCTTGCTCGTGACCTGTTGCGAGAGCAGATTGTATCTGAAATGCTGATTTGGACCTTCCTTCAGCCTAGTCAGAAGAGCTTAAATTGTTTAAAAAAACCACCCTGCAGAAAATCCCACTACCCCGGCCGTTAGTCGCTGGAGTTGGGAAATGGAAACGCTCACGTTGTGTAAGCATCATCCGTAGCGGTCTGCAGGAACGCTGCTGGCGTGTGCCTCTGCTACTCAGTGTTTCCTTCCTGCTCAGCGGCTGACCGCCGTCCTGATCCCGCCTCTTTGAATGGGTAATGGGTTTTTTTTGTTGCCGATTTTGTCTCTTCCCATTGCACATTTTGTCCAGGGAAGGTCATTTTGGGAACCTGTGAGACCTGTGCTCTGTTCCTGGCTCTATGTGGTACCAGCTCTGTAGATGGGGGCCTCGCCCTTTACGGGGCTCCCTTCTTCTCACCTGGAAGAGGAAGGGTCAAGCCCAAGAGTGCAATAGGGAGAGCCGGTCGTTTTCTCTGAGCTGTGTGGAACCCCCAGGCCAGTGATCCCCAGCACACCTGACCACCCCCATGCCCTCCCGGGTACCGGCTCCTCCCCGCTCACTCTCCAGAGACGGTCATAACTGTCTCAGAAGCGAAGTGGGGGGATGTGCGGCTCCCCTCAATTGAAATATTGCAGACACGGAGCTAGTTTCACCTTCAGCCCAGCTTCAAGTTCTGACTTTGTGAAATAAATCGCCCTCTGTGTAATGTCCTTCCTGGCTTCCCACCTCCCCCGTCCGGGCCCATCCTGGGGATGTTGAGGTCTTCCTGGTGACAGTAATTTGTGGCTAATAACTCCTGAGCTTGCACGATTACGATATGCTAATTTTTTGCATGGCAGGAATTTGATAGTGCAGTATGCACAGCCCTTTTTCTCTTCCTTTGAAGTATTAGTCTCAGCCGAACTTCATTATTTGCCCTTATCCATAATTTCTGGGGCCCAGTTGCTTTAGATTATTAAGATACTAGATAAAGTGATCCATTTTTAAAATAAATGTGACATGTTACAGTGTGGATGAAACGCTACCACGTGTGTTTGCTGAGAACTACTTTACTTTGCATAAAAAAGTCCTTTATTACATAGTTGGTGACACTTGGGCTTTCATTTATTTCTGAACAGCATGATGTAGAAATAAATAAAATTATACCCACAACTGCATCAAAGACAGAAACACCAATGGTGTCTAAAGCTCTGAGCTCTTCTTTGGATGACACCGAAGTGAAGAAGGTGATGGAGGAGTGTAAGAGGCTGCAGGGGGAGGTGCAGAGGCTCCGGGAGGAGAACAAGCAGTTCAAGGTAATGGCATCTTTTCTTTTCTTCAAGATTTTATTCTTTTAAGTAACCGCCACGCTGAGCACGGGGCTTGAACTCAGAAGCCTGACAGCAAGAGTCACGTGCTCTACAGACCGGGCCAGCCAGGCGCCGCGGTGGCGTTCCATTTCCTGCTCGTCTACAGAAAACAGGGGCTTTTCCGCTGTGATCTTGGGTGGGGAAGTTGACCCATCCCTGGTTTTGTAGAACTGTTTTGTATTTACACCTTCTTTCCCTAGGGAGAAATTTCTGTGGCTTTCATCAAGTTCTGAAAAGCTCTGACACATCTTCCCACTCCCCCCACCCCCTGTCCCCTAATTGACAACCATTGTTCCTGAGCAGAAGTTTCTCAACTATTTAAATTCTTGTTCCCTGGTACTTGACATGTTTTAATTCATTTAATCTTCTAAACCCTTGTGTGAGGTAGGGATTCTTACCATCCCCAGTTTACAGACGAAGAGACTGAGGAGCAGAGAGGTTAAGTGACAGGCAGGTCACAGTTGCCATGGGAACGGAACCCAGGCTTTGTGCCTCAGAGTCCACATCCATCCCATTCTCCTCCTTAGTGTGCAGACTCGTCCTCTTGTAAGGAAACAAAGCCCCGCTTGCCCTCCCATGAGTGTAAACTGAAGACGAGCTCTGAGATTAAACACAAAATAGCAGTGGTTACCTTGAACTCACAGTGTCAAACCCTGCTCCAGCCCAGGTGGGTGAGAATCTTTCCTCAGTGGAGGAAATCGGTGAATGCCGACCTGTACTCCTTTAACACAGGCATAGTTCTGGTCTTTGAGGATTCTAGGAGGGTCTGGGCAGTAGGGTCTCCTCAGACTGTTCACATGAGGATGAGACTGGAGATGGGAAGTCGTCACAGTCGACAGGTGGAGATTATAGAAGGAGAAATGCGGGTCTCCAGCTTGTGGACATTGACGAGGTGGTTGGCGTTGGTGTTAGAAGGTCAGGTTGTGCTGGGTGGTGAAGGCAAGCGGGCTGCACTTCATTTGGCCTTGGCGGCCTGAGATGTTGTGCCAGTGACTGTCCCCACTTGACTGGCTTTGAGTCTGTGGTGGCCACAGCATCTCCCGGGCCTCCGCTCGCAAAACATGTTGAAGGCCCCTTCCAGCTTTAAAAGTATGTCTGTTTCAGGCAAGGTCTTGAAGAGAATGTTTCCGAACGTCTAGTCATAGGAACTTCTGTCGCAGCTTAACTCTGAGGCTGGTCTGGTCCCTTCTTCTCAGTCATGCCACTCACCGACGCCCTGGGCTTCTGCTCTTTAACCACCAAAGCACCAGACACACGTAATAAATACATCCCGTTCAGGTGACTTCTTCTTTTATTCTGACCGTGCCGCCGATACAGGAGAATCAACAGTGGCTGGAGAATGGCATCATCTTCTTTCTTTGCAGTAATCTTAATTTGCCTCCTTCAGTAACTTCTTTTAGTATGGAGTAAATTATGAAGCTGCCACTTTACTTTTTGGCTAAAAATCCAAGATATGCCTAAAGCTTCTCCTTGAGTGTATTTCTCTTCAGAAACAGAGTCCTGTGCTGTTTAAAGTGATAAATAGGTAGAAATAGCTTCTATATAAACCCAATAAAATAAATGCTGTATTTTGCTCTGCCCATTTTTTTTTTGGAAGTTAATCGAATAACATCGGTCGTTTATCACTATGCAGCGATATTGGCCATGCCCCATGAGCAGAATATCTTTAAAATATTATCAGACTAGTCTTGACAATAGAAGATTCTTTATACTGCCAGACACTGATTTCTTGTTTCACATTGTTTCGTTATTTCACTTGGCCGGCACATTTCCCGAGGCCCTCCCTGTCCCCGGCGCTGTGGGCGCGAACACGAGCTGTCCCTGCCGCTGAGGAGCTCTTTGCTGACTAGGGTCACTGGGGACGCAAATACTGACGACCCGAGTAATGAGGCCCCACAGAGACGGCCACAAGTGCCATGGAAACTCAGCTCGACGGGCTGGCTGCCTGTTGTTTGCAGGACCGACGAGTGTGGGGACGAGTAGATGGGGTAGTTAGCCAGAGATGCCCCTGAGCCGGAGCAGAGAGGCCTTGCTGCGCGCCATGTTGAGGAGTGTGGACTTGGCCTTGGGAGCAGTAAAGGAGGAAAAGGTTCCTATTCCATGCATTAAGTAGGCAATGTCCGAGATGCATAGATCAGCTTCAGTCACATTTTAATATTCCACTTATCATGTCTTCTGCACAGCAGTCTGCACGTAACTCATCGATACAGAGCTCTGCATTTGAAAGCTTCTGGGCCTCCCACTTTGTAGCTTCTTGTGATTTTTATGCTTGTGCTTTGGGAAGTGACTGTCATTTCAAAACCTTTGACTTGGTTAAGGAGGCCTGCTCAGTGGAGGAAAGGAAGACAGAGGGTTGGAGTCTGATGTAGGAGAGGAGCCGGGAGGCATGTCCAGAGAGGTGGATGGTCCCAGGGTGCCAAGGACCTGGCTGACCCTCTCAAGGGCTTTTTCTCTGAAAGTGATGGGGAGCCAGGGCGTGCCTGTTTAGACACATGGTGTAAAAAGGTGCGTGGCTGCGTCGTGTGGGTGGGTGGCAGGGAAGAGGGGCTTCTGGCAACGTTTTCTCAGTGGCCTCAAGCCAGTGCCTTCTCTGTGGGATTCACTTTCTCCCTTTGAAAACTGACGAGGCTGGCCCACGCCGTGAGGTTCAGGTCTGCTCGCAAGCGCACCCTGCGAAGCTGGACGGTTGACTGCCTCTCCTGGTGTCTCGAGTTGTCTTTGAAATGTGCATTTGCTCCCGTAGGAAGAAGATGGACTTCGGATGAGGAAGACCACGCAGAGCAACAGCCCCGTTCCTGCATTCGCTGCGGCTGGGAAGGAGGAGGGCCCCAGTGCCCGGCTCCTGGCGCTCGTGGTGTTGTTCTTCATCGTTGGCGTCATCATAGGGAAGATCGCCTTGTAGAGGCGGCCGGTGGAGGGTGGCTTACTGGATTGATGGCCCGCCATACCGTGGGGTTTGAATTGATCATAACCATGTGTAAAAAGAAGTTAATGTGTGATGACATCTCACAGGTCTTGCCTTTAAATTACCCCCTCCCTGCGCGTGCGCACGCGTGCACATACACACACACACAATTATAATGTAACAATCTTTTAGAAAGTGAAAACTGTATAGTAAATGATCGGGGGGAAAGAATGGTCTTTATTAATGATGAGGGAAACCGTGATTAAATCGTAATGGCATGTCATAAGTGTCACTTTAAACATTTGTAGCCTTGGTACCTGTGGCTGGGTTGATTACCTCTCTCAGAACAAGACACTCTTCCTGCCTGTTGGTGCTGGCCCTTGGGGAGCGGGAGCCCAGTGCGGTGGGAGGGCCATCCCCTCCACGTAGCAGCCCCCCCCTGCTCACCCACCCCTGGGCTGCTGCTCCATGCCCTGCTCTGCTCTGCCCCTGGCTGCTGGTTCCCTGGGACTGATGGACGGGGTCAGAAGCCAATGGCATTGTGCTATGGCAGCGTTGGGTCTGCCTGTGGGGAGCGGGAGGCGGATGCTGACCGACCAGCCCAACACTTTGGAAATCAAAGGCAATGCTTTGTTCTCTTAAAGGGACCAAGCTGAATTACTGTCGGTTCATGTAGCGAGATTCACTTGTTATTCAGAGATGTTTAATGCATATTTAACTTATTTCTTGTATCTCATCTCATGTTTCCTAATTGCCACAAGATTATAATTACTGCTGTGGGCCACACATCACCTGTGCCACCTGGTGCCGCTGGGAGCTGCTGGCATTGCGGCTGGAGAGCTGTGGGCTCCTCTCGGGAGGTTCTCCGGGCCCTGCAGACACGCGGAGGGGTGGTTTGACTGACTGTGGGCAAAGCGCTGCCGGGAAGGTTTGTCTGTGTGGTAGATGACAGCCGTCCAAGGGGTTCTTAGTGGCAACAGCCAGCTCTATTCCCTGTCGATGGAGAAGGCTGGCCGGGCTTCTGTTGTTCCTCATCGCCCCTCCGCTCCCCGTCATACTTCCAGCACACGTGCCCCTAGTCTGGTCCTCACCTCTCCCGTGTGGCCCTCGCTCGGAGCGGGGCAGCGGGGGCGGCAGCAGACAGGGAAGCAGCGGGGTGGGGGCGGGGAGAGGGGTGAGAGTCTCTTCAGGTAATCGTCAAGTAGTGATTGAGAGTTTGACTGTAAATTAATTTTATGCCATAAAAGACCAATCCAATTCTGTTTGACTATGTAGCATCTTAAAAAGGAAAAAAAAAATAAAGCCCCAGAACTAAGAGTTCTTTTGTCATTTTGTCACACTTGCCATGGGGGGTTATTATTCTTATGATCTTTGTTATTTTTTGTCACTGAAAGGTTGGTTCTAAAATGAGCCCTATCAGTGAGAAATCTGTTTAATGACTGAATATATATAATCCTGTGTGTGTGCGTGTGTGTGTGTGTGTGCGTGTGTGTTGTTGGCTTCAACGGAGAGCGCAAAAATAAAACTGCTGAAAGTCTTAAGCAGCTGGTCACCCTTGCCCTTCCATTGCTTTGCCCCGGTAGAAAGAACTCTGTCCTCTGGGTCAAGAGGCCGAGCTGAAGGGACAAGGGACAAGCGTGCTGAGCGTGGCTGCAGGGAGCGGGTGGGTTTGAAAAGACAGAGCCATCAAAAGGAAGACCGTTCTTAGAAGTCACCTGCTTGACTCACATTCCTCCTGAGCTTGGCTGGGGCGGGAGGGCCTTGCTTCTGGCCCTGAGGATCTGGTCAGGGGCCTAGAGCCTGGGAGCTGGGCATCTACGTCCAAGTAAGTAGCTTCTGTCTTCGTGCGTGGTTCCTGGGTCTCGAGTGCTCACGGGGAACGTGGAGGGGAACGTGGAGCGGACCCAGTTCGCAGCCACATGCCCGGTGCTCAGACGGCGTTGAGTGCGTGCACGGGGCGGGCTGCCCAGTAGAAGTTAGGCTCCGGTATTCTCTTGCCTGCGTGGATCCAGGGACTTACGGAACGGGGTGAAAAGACGGTGCCTTCTGGCATTCATTTCTGTAAGTGGACTGCGGTCTTCCCAGGTGTGGGAGCTGCAGCGAACCGGTCCTGGGAGCTTCCAGCCCCTCACAGCCTCAAAAGGACCAGGGTTGGGAAGGTGTCGGACCGTTCCTCGGAGTGCGGCACGGTCCCGTTTCCCTGGAGCAGGACTCCCCGGGCATTTTCTCAAGGGGTGTGGCTGTGTGTTCCCATAAAACCTGATTCGCAGGAACAGCTGGTGGGATGTGGCGTAGGACGCCGGAGCTCGCCTGCGCTTGCACTGGGACGACTGAGTTCTTAAAGACGGCGCCTCGGGTATCCATTCTGTTCTCGAGCCTGGCGAGTGACTTTGTGTTTTGTGTATATGCAGGAGACGACATTCAGCTTCTCAGAAGACGTGGGCCTTTTGTTTGTAGCTGAAAATGAGAATTTAAAATCCACCGTTGCCTTCTTTCTCACTAGTCATCCTGTAAGATCTCTTGCTCCTTTAGAGGTTAAGGTTCGGCGAACGCGGGTTAGTTTACGGGGCTTTTTGACTGAGCAGAAGAAGGGAGCTCCCCAGGGAGAGAAGGAAGGCAGTGTTGGGAGGATTGGATATTATGCAAATCATCCAGTCCGTAAAGAGCGAGCTAGGAGAGGGAGAGTGTGTGCGGCGCAGCACGGCTAAGGGTCAGGGACCGTTTGAAGAGCCACAGACACTCAAAATGTCAAACGTGGGCAGGTATGCACCTTTTGAGTGTCTTTCTTGGAATGACAGAAAAGGAAGCATGAGAGTCAGGTGGAGAGGTAGATGCACGGTCCCCTCCCATAGCCTGGCCGGGCCGAAGAGGGAAAGAGTCAAATAATCAGAATAAAGTGGCCCAGCCTGAGCAGGGTTGACTAAGTGAGCCCTCCCGCCTGCTGCCTCGGGCACCTCTTTACAGCAGCTCGGAGAGCGGTGCCTGTGTTTCAGAAATCTGCCACCGAGCCCGCAAACACAGAAGAGACGTAAACAATAACAGGGTCCTGTAAATTTTTATGGATTGAATTTTTAAATTGATAATTGAAGCTCCCTCCGCACAATACAGAGTACTTCTTAAAGTACAAATACTTATTAAAATACAAAATACTTCTTAAAGGCGGCTGGATGTATTATTTGTAGGTATGAGGACCGGCTTTATTATTTTTTATCCTTCTCCTAGTTTGCATGTTTTCCTTCTCTCCTCTTCTAAATTGCTGGCACCAGCAGTAATAAATACTGATAAAATCAAAATTGATTTTTAGCAGTGGACAGTTTATGCCTAGAGAGACGGCTTATACCTACATAACACAGAAGTGGGAAAAATGAGGAACCTCCAGTGATCCGTGAAAACCTGAACGCTTTCGAACAAATCCCAGGAACAGAACTGCTGTCCACAGATATCAGTGCCGTCTTGCAGGCTCTGCTGGCTCAGATACAACTGAATGCAGTGATAGCTCAGGGCTAAATAGCCTTTCAAATTAATTTGAAAACAAGCTCTGTGTGTGTGTGTGTGTAGCATATATATCATATGTAAGTAGCTTAACATTTTTCAAATGGTGCCTCTATTTTTTGCACACACAAATCTTTATATTTGCAAACTCAGAAATCCATGCCAAAACACAATACCGTTTGTCATTTTCAGTCCCTTCTCTAAACTGGACCATTCACAAGTTTCTGGTTACGGTTTGTGAAATTCTTGGTTTGAAAGGAAACAACAGGGAGTGAGATGGGGCCCAGGCGTCCTCGTCCCCTTGAGTGCAGATCTGCCAGTCCCCCCCCACCCTGGGAGCCCGCCTCAGGGGACGAGGCTGCCGCGCTCCCTGCTGGTGGTGGCCACTCCCCGAGGGCATCTCGCGGGCTCTGGGGTCCAGGGCGGCTTCCCCTGTCCCTGCCCGCAGTCCGTCTGGCTAGAGGAGGGCAGAACGAGGTCCAGCTCTGGAGTTACGAAGGGACCACCGCGAGGCATCCGCCCGCAGTTCAGCACGGGCTCGCCTGCTCTTGCTGGTGCGAACGCTCGCGGAGGTCGCTGGAACGGGACCTGTCCTTAGTCCCCTGACGCGTAGAGGGATGGCTCCGGTTCCCGTGCACAGATTTGCTAGGGCCTGTGGTCACCACAGGTGCCACACGTCCAGTGGGGCCCCTCGGGGTTTCCGTGGCCCGACTGGCTTTGTGGATGGCTTGTTTCCTTTTTTAACCTTCCTCCTGCAGAGCTGCGTTGACAGGAACCTTTCAGGGAAAGTAGCTGCTGTTCCAGTGCTCCCTCAGCCTTGTGCAGAGCCCTTCCAGAACGTTCGCTCAAACGGCTGCGACGGGAGGGCGGGGGTGCGGGGATGAGGGCTTTGTTTCGAACGGGAGGAAATGAAGTCTCCAAGAGGTTACGCTGAGCAACTTCTCAGAGCCTCTCATTAGGAACGAAGTCGGTCTCAGGGAGCCCACGGGGAGGCCGGCATGGCCACGGCGGGGTCTGGACCGCGGTCCCACCCAGACGGGCCGTGCGGAGGCGCTGCTGAGTGAGCTCGCGGGCTCGGGCGCTCCGACCGCTTGTGCCCGCTCACGTGTCTGTCCGCCCACCTCACGCGGTTGCTCTGAAGGTCCAGTGCACGGAGTCCGGACGCTGATTGAGACGCTTTTTTATTTTTCTTTTTGAAAGCCAACACGCTCAGACAGGGAAGGACAGGTGTGTCTTCCGTTTTCTCACTGCCTGGAGACCTCTGCCTGATGCTCGTGGGGGATGAATTGGGGGAAGGAGGAGCCCAGTCCGTCTCGGCGCGCGGGGGACGAGGCTGCTCTCTGCGGGGCTTGACATAGCTCGTAAATTAAATGGGAAGCGAGGGCGGTCCGCTGAAGTTGGCGTCACAGCAGTGGCCTGCGGGGTTTCAGAACAGCCAAGCTTCTGGGCGCGGACCTTTCCCCGAGTTAGCGCTGCCTTTCTCTGGGAGAGCCTGGAAGGAAGCAAGTCCCAGGGTCCAGAGGCGGGCTTGGGAGGCCATGAAAAACGGGCCTCCAGCAAGACTTCCAACCCTCTCACTCCAGCACCTGAGTCCCGTCTGCCACACGCACAGTCCGCGGGCTCAACCTCCCTAGAATGTCAGTTGGGGTGCGCGAGAGGCCCCCCCCACCGACCCCCTGCAGCGGGATCCAGACCTCCCTCTGCAGGGTGTTAGCGACGTCATCTATGCCACTGAAAAGGTTTCGTCTTACTACTTTTCATTACAGGGGTATTTTGGAAAACGTAGAAGACGTGAACACACACGAATGGTTGTGTATAATAGTTGCAAGTGAAACCCGCAGAGGTAGATGA